ACCCCTCCCCCCTCAGCCCTACACTGCCTCCGCCGAGGTGAGTCACCCACTCTCCCTCGGCCCCAATATAGGACCAACCCTCTACCCCCCTTTCTCCAGGAGCACGCAGTTCCTACCTAAAACATGCCCCCCCAGCCCCTTGCCCATTTCTGCCTCCGCCGAGACTGATATTGACTGACACACACACCAGCCTCTGCCCCTGAATAGGGCAACCCCCTACTCCGCCCCTACCTTCTTTGAGACATTCACCTCCCGCCTTGTGATGCCCCTGCAAGATAGAGCTCCCCCCTCCCCCTTCCTACCGTTTAACCCTCCAGGAACGATCCAATCGGAAATTTCTGAAAGTCATGATGAAGAAATGTAGACGATTTTTTTTTATTTTTTTTTTGCTGATGACGACGAAAAGCACCCTAAAAATGATGATAATGAGGATGATGGTGACGACCAACTCACCTGCTGATGTGAACGGCAAAGAATGTCTTGAAGAGCAAACATCTAATGATGACAAACTGATGATGATGCTGATGATGATGGAGGTGATGAGAATGAGACCGAATGATGCGGCTGATCATATTAAAGAGCAGCACCAACAGCCCCGCCCCTATGATTACAAAAGGATGATGATAATGATGATACTGATGATGTCGCTGCAGCTGCTGCTGCTGCTGATGATGATACATCATGCCCTGTGATGACAACAAGATGATGATGGTGCTGATGACGAGCACCTTTGATCTATGAAACACCCGCGGACGCGTCCGCGGGGTCCAGCTCGGATGGCGGCCGTATATACGGCCGCGTCCGCGGTCGACCTCGTCCGCGCAGCGGACGCGAATTTACCATTTTTTCCTGAATTAAATAATGGGTAAAAAAAAAAAAAAGGGGTTGTAGGGATTAAAAATCCCTACAACCCCATATTTTTTTTTTTTGGAAACAGATAAGTTTTTAGAATTATAAAAAATAAAAAACAGAAAAGCCGGAGAAGAAAAATTGATAAATATATATTTTTTTTAAGTTTTTTTTTTTTTTTGGGGGGG